CACTACACCCACACTACCCAGCATGACATGGAACATAGTATACACACCACCCACAATCTACACACCACAACACACACTAGCCACACAGTATACACATCCACAGCACACACACAGCAGTGCACCAGTGAGCTTGGGAAGGCCCCCAGCGGGCTGCTGTCCAGACCATTTCTCCAGATCATCAGGGTTACTGTCATCCTAGAATTCACAGCGACCTCCCACCATCAGCTCTGGGCAGACCTGAGTCCTGCTCCATGACTCGGCCTTGTCACGGGCCTCAGGGAGCTGCCATCTGAGGCGTTCCCAAGAGGCAGACCCTTAGATGACAATTTCATCCTGGAAGGTGCCCATTGGGGAGCACCCCACAGGCACAGGAGTGTATACTGATGCGCCCTGCATATGTCCTCTGATCAGGCCTGGAGGTGTGCAGAGCCACTCATGGGCCCTTGGGGAACGATCAGCCAGGGTCTGGGTGCTGGAGCAGGGGGCAGTGCTGCTGGAGTGTGTGTGTTGAGGGCCTGAGCCTGGGTACTCTGGCTCTGCCCCCTCCGCAGGGCCTCTGAGTGCAGGCCATGAAGCCAGCTGGCAGCCCACCTGAGAGCTGGGACACTGCAGAGAGAGGAAATGGGCAGGAGTAGGTCAGAAGAGCACTCAGGAGGGGCGTAGGGAAGGGGTCACAGCCACTGTGGCTGAGCTCGGGCTGTTCTTATGCTGGGCATCAAGAGACTTTGCTGCCAGTGCCTGTCCCTGAAGGATGGTGGCTGGGTCCCCAGAGACAGCCAGTTGGCATGAAGTCATTTTCAAATGCCCTCTTAGGGAAATCATCACACTGAGCCGCTGCAGGGCTTGCTGCTTTTAGTCACAGTGACAGAACTTGAGATAATCCTCTCATAAGGAAAGAAGGGCTGTTGTGCTTGCCTGCGTCAGAACATCCTCCTTTTGAAGGCTGCTATTCTGAGTGTGTGTAGATTGCATTCTGTTTATCTGCTCACCGGTGGGCATGCAGACATTTCTTGAATTCTTCTTTCCAGTTATTTTGGGGACACACCCCACCATGGACTTGGTGGATCCCAATAGTTATTCTACCGAATTTTTTGAGGACACTCCATCTTGTTCCCCACCCTATAACACTGCCACCATTTTACGTCCACACCAGTGCTACAGCAGGGTCCCAGTTTTTCCACTTTCTTGTGAACATTCTTATTATTTCCTGGGGTGGTGGCTGTTGTTGTTATTGTTTAGTTTTGGTATAAGTATGGAACAATGCATGCTACTATGTTTTGAATCTTATTTTTGCAGCTATTGTTTATAACTTGCAGTTCTCCCAAGCCCTCATTCGGGGCTCTCAGCTCCATTCACTGTCCAACACCCCAAAACCAGAACACAAGCTGTCTCTCTGTGTCACACTTGCACCCAGCTCTCCCAAGGCCTCTGCAGCCTACAAGGGGCCCAGGGTGTGGCTCTGAAGAAGAGCAGGCGCTTGGTGCACCCCAGGTGCGGGCCTCGGCCGGAGCTGTCCTCCACACCAGAACCACAGCAGCACCTTAACTTCCTCACGGTGTTGGTCCTGGAGGTGAAAGGGGCTCTGGGAAATTGTACAGCAAGAGCACAACCTCCGGTTTGTCAGAATAAAGAAAGCCAAATGAGAAAAGAGGAGGGTGCTGCTTCTTAGTAACGCATGTAGGAGATTTCAAGTTCATAGAAACAAACTAAATTACGGAGGAGGCAGCTCTGCCATTTGCAACCACAGATTGTTTGAAATCCTTTTAGAGGAAAATTAAAATATTTCACAGAGGGTAATAAAATGCCGGGTGTTTTGCAGGCCTGACTGCTCAGCTCTCTTGGTCCAATAAATAATTAGGTATTTTTGTTTGAGCCTCAGTATCATCCCTTTCACTGGTGTGGGGGGGAAACTATTGTGGAAAAAAAAAAAATACACAGAACTCTGAAAACTCTCAGAAAGTTAATTATAAAACTATATGTATGTTTGTGTGTGTGTGTGTGTGTGTGTGTGTGTTTTCTTTTGTGAGTTCAACGTAACAGCCTATTGTGGAGACAAAGGGAAGCTCTTAGAATTTATTTTCCCAAAGGCCAAAAATGTGAGCCGCATCCACTCTTCTGCCTCCAAATGTAGTCTCTTCAGAGACCCTGGCATGCAAGCGCTGTAGGGCACTAGATGCAGCCACTGAGACAGGGCTCCGTGCATGGCCGTGGGAGCTGGGAGACGTTCCTGCAGCGCGGCCCTCTTCTTCCGCCCCTCACCAGAATCTACTTCAAGGGAGGGGGTGGTTTCCCTCTTGGCTGGAAATGCTCTGCTCCAGTATCTCCTTTTCTAGGATGGGGAGCACAGGCTTCACTTTTAAGGGTTTTTTTTTTCTTCCTGCACATCCCTGGGTCATGTGATTGTTGCATGTCATGACAGCAGTCTGCTCCCTGTGCCTGAGCCCTCCCTGCCATGGAGCAGAGGAGGCCTAGGCCATGGCCAGGCTGTGCTCGAGGGCCTGCTTGTCCCTGAGCAACGGACCCACCTTCTTCCTACCCAGCTGCTCTTCTGAGTAATAGAAAGGAAGCAGTCCTCAAAATGAGAATCCAAAGCTGGTTTGAGAACCATCAAAAAACAC